ATAAGCTTTTATGAAATTTGTACAAACAGGATACACCTCCTCCTTTAAAGAGAGAAGGGTATGACACGACTAATTTCAGTTCAGTGTACATAAATTTCCCCAAGGGCTTCCAACGGAAAAACATTGGCCAAATCAATGATGATATGGGAATTGAATCCTAACACTATCAACGTCAGCTTAGATAAAATCAACACATGCCATGCAGAACAGGAAAATTTTCCTGCGGTTAGATTATGCTCCTGGTCCCGGACAACAACAGGGCATGAGACAGGATATATGGAAAATGCTACTGACTACTACTACCCTCCACAACCTCTGCCTGTCCGTCATTGTTGCTCAAGTGCTGGTCTTTCTTGCCATACTTGAGATCTTCTTGTCCGGAAAGTTCCCCTAGTCTCACCTGCAATTTTATTATTTTATAAGGAGTGTTAGAAAGCAATTTCAAGCAAACAGGTGCTTTTTGCTTCTATCATTCTATGCAAAGCTGGATACATGGACGTGCATCCAGGAAGTGGGTAAATATCGTGTTTTGATGGACTGCAGCATATTACTTTTGCATGAAAGCAAAAATCGTAACACCAGTTGTGTCTTTTCCAAGTTCATAGGAGAAAACAAAAATTTAGCCACCTCAAAAAAAAGGAAGAAAGGAATCAATACGTTACCTTCAGAGAGACATTTTCTGCAAGCAGTAGCTCATGCTCGCTCCTAATCCGACTTACTTCTGATCTAAGATTGGCATTCTCCTCTTTTAAGGCTTCAGCATGCTTAGCCAGCTCATCACATTCCGCCTGAGTCAAAAGCATGAACATATGACCTGATAAATAATCTGGGGGCATTTGATGCAAGATAACCAACAAGCATTAGGAAATTCTAACAGGCTCTTCATTACCTGTTTACGCAACCTGGATTTGCGAGCAGACTCTCTGTTTGACTGCTTCCTTCTCTGTCTTTTAACCTCTCTTTCATCCTAAGTTCACGAAAGCAGATTTGTGGCCAGTTAAATATTAAACAACACCACATGTTTTAACCCACATTAGTAAAGAGATCAGAAATACATTACATATAACACATACTCCATCTGTCCCACAATAATTGTTGCGTTTTTACTCAAAATTTGTCCCAAACTAATTCTTGTTTTTTCATATTTTAAGGAAGACAAATATTTTTTTCCTAATTTAATCCTATTGTTATCATATCATTTTAATTACCATCCTATCAAAAGTAGTTCCTCCTTATTATCTCTTTCTTAAGGGCAATATAGGTAAAAATATATACTGAAAAAGTAAAAAAAGGATAATTATTGTGGGACAGAGGGAGTAATTATTAGTGCTTGCAAGGGTATTATCTATTCAAATCAGCAGGGGAAAAAAAGTTAAAACAATTCATCAACAGTGGCATGCATTTGCAACTCAGAAAAACTGTGATGGTAATTGACAAATATGGTGAATTCAGTTTCAAATTCAACAAATCACTGGAGTAGAGGATAAGGGTATAAAGATTTAGGCTCTTTGGAGATCTGTAGTATAAGCAAGTATTATCTTTCTAAAGAACAGGAGGAAGAGTAAAGACCTGTAACCAAAGTTGTGATTGAACATTGTCCCGTGATCCAGCAGCAACAATCCCTCCTGCCACCAGAGTAGAAGGAACATTACCACAAATTGCAGCAGATGCAACTGGACCACCCCAATAATCCATTCCAATATGCAAGTTTGTTGTGGGACCAGGAATGGCTGCAACACCACCAACAGATGATATTGGCACAACAGACATTGTTTGATTAACTATTGTATGAGATGTATTATTTGGCCCACCATTTTGAGGACCACGTGCAGAGCTGCCATTCTGAGATGCTTCTGATGCAAGAGACATTATTGAATCCCTCAGTAATGTGCATCACTAGCAACAAACTGAAAATATTATAAAAGGGAATTATCAACAGTGTTATTAACAAACCTTCCACAGAATCTTGCCCACCTCCTGACTTCATCAGTGAATCCTACAGAGATCAAAGAAATTAAGTGAAAATATGATTTTTACCTAAAAAGAATAAGGGAACAAACTCAAAAACAAAGAAGTCCCAAGTGCAGTTCAGTTATCATTAGAAGAGTCATGAAACTGGAGGGAGAGAAAGATGAAGATGAAAAGGTGCTTGCACCAGAAAACACTGATTACATAACCAATTTTTTCAAGAACAATTGATGTTCACAGATAAAGAAAAGGAAACAGCAACAGCTCTTATAAAGGCTCCCAAGTAAAATAATTAAACATATTACAGAGGAAATGTTGACCACAACAAAGTGTTTAATCCACAAAAGCACAAATCCTCCTAGGGTCAAAGATCACTTCAAAACCTTCTGCATCAATAAGGCGTCAACACACCTAAAGAAAAGGAAATATAATTGACAAATAAAGGAATAAATTCAACAGGATTAGACTTACATTCTGGGAGTTTGCATCACTTCCTTCACTTCCACTTTCAGCACTGCATATCCAGAATAATTCTAACAGCAGCCAAATTAGACTCTAACATATAATTTAGCAAAAGGTAAAAGCAATGCATACTCAGACAAGATACACTGTGCAAGAAGTAAAGTAAATTTTATGGAACTAGAAAAGGAAAAGAAGAGAGCTTCTTCCATAAAGAGTGCCCTTGACATTTCAATGAAGCACCTCAATATCAGGAAAAATAAGAAGCCCCTAGCACTTGCAATAATGGCTTTGCCCCAGAACCCTCCTCTTTTTTCCTTTCGTCATTCCTTCAAACCCCTATATAGGTGGATTGAGAGATCCAAGAAATAGCAAAGCCAAAAAGCCCTCATCAATTAATTTGCTTTCACCATACCTTTTAGAATAACCCCCATTTGCAGATGGCCCTGATGTTTTACCAAGCCCATTGTTCTTCCCAGTAATCATGTTCAAACTACCCAAACTTCCTTTCGATCTTTTAATTGGCAATTTTTCTTTTGTTTCAGATGGCTTGTTATCTGTTTCCATACTTCCAGGAGTATTTCTCTACATAAGAGTTTGAAATTTAGCATATATCAGGCATAAGCATGGCATTCTTGTCAAAAACAGTACAATAGTGAACTCACAAAAGCCTCAGCAACGCCATTTGGAGACGGCATGGCAAAAGGACTGAAAGGATATGATCCCTGTATGAAATTAGAACGTGTCAGATAGGGTAACATGAGATATGAGACTAGAAATAAAGCATAATGGACAATAACATACTGGAGGAATAGATGAATGTGCATATACACCATGAGGATACATTGCAACGTAAGGATGTGGAGGGGTACCATAGGGAGGCATAATATGCTGCAATAAACAATTCATGTCAGATCTTTACGAATAGCAAAGAAGATCATTTCAAATGAACAAATTTACTCCCCAGTCTCTGCACCTAGCTTGCTGCTTCAAAATAAGACAACCACAAATAAAATTTTATCATCAATGGAGTACACTTCTTTGAGATGCTAATGGTAATGGTGCAAGTCTCAAGCTACCTCCATTTTTCATAATTAACATAACCATCATTCACTACTAGTTCAAAAACATAAAATACCTGAACCCCCCACATATATGGAGGTGCTTGCGGACTTGATGCCAAGAAGCCATGCGGAGGCATGGGAGAATAGGCCTGTTTGAAAACAAGCACCCACATGATAAATCAAGACTGAACACATAAGCAAAAGAAAAAGAACTTAAACTAAAGCCCTTAGTTTTGAGAACCTGAAACCCTGACCATTCTGCATTGACTGTCCCAGCACTAGTGCTCAAAGACTGCTCCTAAGGAACACAAATGCATCAAGGAATCAGAACAAGAACCCAAATGAGAGGAACATTTAATCTACAAAATCTGCAAAAATACCTGTGTATTAGTAGCAGGTGACATCTTTGGCTCTTTCTCTTTTGAAGTTTTATCTGACTCACTGCTACCCATTGTTCTATACCCCCAACTTCTAAAACCCCCTCAAACTATCCTAAGAACAAAACATCAGTTCCATTATATCCTGTACTTCGTTGGTAACAAACTTCTTATACATATGGCATGCACTAATACTGCAATAACCAACCATATTAACACAATGTGAACCATATCCTTAATATATTTGTATAATTTCGTTTAAAAATGGTGGCATTGTCCCAATTAAGTAAAAGGGTTTTGCAATTTTAAGGCCCAGAAATGAATAACAAATCATCAAATTTCCAATACCCTTTACTTTTCCCACGTTTTCTTATAATCAAAAAAATCATCTATCACCTAGACAAATTGGATGATATACAACCCCTGATATATTAGAAAATGAAGAGATAGTATGCGTTCATGGAAAGTAAACGGAGAGAAACAATTAATCAACACCTAAAAAGAAATGCTGAAGCAATTGCATGGAAGCAAATGATGAAAATTTGTTGAGTAATTAACGAATAAAACCCAGTAAATTTTGCTACATGCTACAAACAAATAACCAAATAGAGCCTCGAATTTGAATTACCAATTCAAAAGGGTGTCACTAAATTGACTTTAAAAAGCCGAAATCTGATACCCTGACCGGAAGTTTGAGCCTTGAGCTTGCGAATAAGAAAGTCTCGATCTTTGAGGTGGAAGAGAAGAGTGTTTTAGGTGGTCAATATCTGGGAATGATTAGGACAAAATTTGTGAGCAGAAAAGAGTAATTATTTGCCCAATTTGAAATTGAAAACGTAAACATCGGGTATTTTGATTTTAGGGTTAGCATACTAATTGGTACAAGAGCAGGAACGGAGAGGAAGGGTTCACGGAACGGAATCCGTGGGTCGTCTTACGGTAGTCGAGTTTAATTTTAAATTATTTTTATCTAAATTTTTATTTTTTTAATTAAAATAATTTAAATTCTAAAATAATTTTTTATAAAAAAAATATTATAAAATCTAAATCACACATTTAAATTAAAGTAGACAATATTTTTAGTTAAATGGGAGGTAACGTCTTAATATTCTTAATTTAATTTAATGGTTGTTATTTTAAAGTACAGTTCAAACATACTATGGTATGGAATTGAATCAGTATTTAGGTTCAATGGTTTGATCCAATTTTTAAGTGATTGGATGAAATGATTAGAGTTTTGAGTTTTACTACTGTTATAAACTTCACTAAAAAGTGGATTAATGATCACACGTCACATTTGAAGGAGTAAAGTAAAATGATCACCGAATCTAAGGACCAATAACTAACAATTAACTCACCTTAATTTTTTAACCATTGCTCTTCGGGAAGAAGAAAAGAAAAGAAAAGAAAGAAGAAAGAAAAAAAAAAAGACTATGGAATTTTTCTTATTTCTTTGATGTAAAAAAAGAAAGAAAAAAAAAAAGTTGACTTAGTCCATATTCTCCCGGCCGAAAAGGCCGAAGACCTATGAATCCTTTGACCGCCGCTGCCGCCAGAGGTCACGTCGTGGGGTCATCATCACAGGAGGCACTTCCCCCATCTCTTTGGAAATCACTGTTCCCCAATATTCCCTCCTTCGTCTGCGGAAAAAGTAACGAGTTTTGCAGACCCGCCGCCCCGGAAAGGAAGTCGTCGCCTTCGGACTCCAACGCAGCTGCCCAACGGCATCTCCACGGCTTACTCCTAGGAGGTGGCTGATATTCTTCTCTCGGACAAATTCTCAATCCGAAGCTCTCTTCCCCTTGCTTCTTCATTCGAAAATAGTGCTCTGCCCTCTTTTAGTAAAAAAGAGAAAGAACAGAGGTTGGAATTCTTTTTCTTCTCTAAATTACTCTCTGGATCCTTGCTTCCTTATCATGTATTGAATTCTCAATATATTAGTGGAGATTCTATTCACTAACAATTCTCCAATTTTGCAGCAAACATGGTTTCTGGATTAATTAACGCAAACCCAGTTGTCTATGAGAAGAGGGAGAGGCGAGTTCGCAATGTGACCAGTGATGCAGATGAATACACGGTATAGAACCCATAGACCAGCAGGAAATTTTTGATATCCTTTGGTTCGTATATATTATATTTTGATGTCAATTATTGTAGCTTCGGCCTTTAGATAGGCATGATTTTACCTTTTCTTTTTCTCAATCATATTGACAAAGTACCAAACCCAAGTGCTAACTTTTAGGTTGTATTCAGAAGAAGGAATCTAAATGAGGGATTTCAATGAAGAAAGGAATTTCATATGCCTTTTTGACCCTTTATGTCAAAATTGTTTTGGTAGTATTACAAAAGCTTGTTATTCTAAAATACTACTTAAAAGCTGTTCTTTTTGAAATTCCTTCCTTGTTCATTTTCACCAATCTCTTAACATTCTTAAATCATATTAGAGATATAAAGGATCCAGAACATCCCTATTCTTTGGAGGAGCTCAATGTAGTAACTGAAGATGCAATTGAAGTGGATGACAAGAATAGTTATGTTAGGTAAAAAAGCAATTTTTTATTTCTCTGTCAAGTGCATTTTCAATTGATGTTGCTAGTATGCTCGTTTGATTTAATGTATAATGTTTTCTCTGATTTAGGATCACTTTTACACCAACTGTTGATCATGGTAGTATGGCAACAGTTATTGGTCTTTGTTTGCAGATGAAGTTGATGAGGAGTCTGTCCTCTCATTACAAGGTATTAACTTCTTCACATCATAGATATTGGAACCTGTTTGCAAACCCGCCATTAGTTCTTGAAATATTTGGTGAGGAGGCAGAACTCGCTTTCATTTGTGTGCCAATCGAATAATAATTCTGTTTTGGCTTTTATTGTTCATGATTCACCTTCACTAAGATAATGCATGCATATCTTTTGAACTATTAATTCATAAAAAGGTTATTTGTGTAGAAATGCACTTGAGTCATCAGCATATTTGCAAGAGTTGAATGAATCTACATTGCATGTTCTGTTGGACTGGAAAGTGAGTACTGAGTGTTGCAGTTTGACATGGATCTGGTTGTCATGTTGTTGAAACTTTTCACTCACATGATTATATCAATGCATGGCAATATGTAAATTGGCGTTATCTAAACATTTTATGCTACAAGAAATATAAACAACAGGTTCTTAATTCACTACTCTGTTCTCAAAAGCTGCTGTCCTGTTATTCCACTGACGGTATCATGATCGTAACCTGATACTGCAAAAGTCATCTTTACTGCATCACATTATTTGTAAGAAAATTGATAAATCTTGGTGTGTTTTAGTAGCTTTTATGATTTTCCTTGTTTTCTCGCACTGCTCCCTAACCTTTTCCTTACCTTCTTAATGGTATCTAGTAATGTTGTTTAGGTGGATATAAGGGTTGCGCCTGGAACTCATGCCTTCTTAGTGGCAGGTATTCTCTCCTTTCTCCTTCTGCCTTTTTTTGGTGGTTTAGGCAGGCAGTAAGTGGGTAAGTGGTCTAAGAGTAGTCCTTGTATTCATTTTGTCATTTTAATTCGTAGTGATCCATGAGGTCAAACAGTAATCTTGCAAAGCCTGTCAGAGACTTTAACACAGCCCTAGATGACACCTCTGTTCTTTCATTGATAAAAAAGACCATTATCCCATCATTCCACTGAATTGGAACTAGTCCTACCCTAAGCACGTCCACCTGATGTGTGCTAGTTTTCTGCCATGGTAGTCTCATTTTGGTTTTCTTCTCTAATTCAGTTAATAAACAACTGAATGACAAAGAACGTGTGGCAGCAGCGTTAGAAAATCCAAACCTGGTGGATATGGTTGACGAATGCCTAGCACCAACATACGATTGAATGAGGATGCACTTCTGCACTGCAGTTGGAAACAAATACATGTCTCAGAATCAGCTGGGTTGAAGCAACTTGCAATATCACACTTGTGTGATATCCTCATGCATTCTCCTTTTCAACATTGTTTCATATATTTTGAATGCTGGTCTACATTTGTTAAGTTATTTGTAGTTCTATGCTTTCTCCGTTCTTTTAGGTTGGAAATCTCTGGACATGTTGTCATCAGAAGTACATTTGTACAACAGATGATATAAATAAATAGAATTTTGAACCATTTCATTTCAACACGTTGCCTTCTGAATTATTGTTTAGCAGATAGGGTAAATTCTCACATGCATTCTGCTAACCTATTACAGGAGCAATGATTTGGATATAGAAAAATCAACTTCCAACATAACTTATTGATAAATTTTCCATCATTTTTAATAAACTTGACTAGGAGTTCAGTGAATATTTTGCAATAATTTTTTCTTTCCACAATCATTTGGTTTTATTTTGCTTTTTGTGCAGTCGTGTTTCTCAAAGAGATCAGGTGAAAAGTACCCATATTTGTCAGCATCTCGAAATAAATTTCATTCATCTAAAGAACACCTTCAAAACTAGACTTCCAGAACCAAACTATACAGATCTGTAGAGCCCTTGAGTTGTAGAGAATCTTCAGGCTGTCTTGAAAAAGAAAAAGGTTAGATATGCAGCAAATGAAGGAAAGGTAAGAAAAGAAAATATTCCCTAACGAGAACCTTTTAGATAATGAAAAATTATCAATTCACCAGTAATCCCTACAAGAGCAAGTTCCATCTTTAAAATGATGGAACCGATTCCGGTCTCTTACAGTAATCTCCCTTTGATAGATGAGTGAAATTAGTTTGGTATATTTATGACAGTCACTACACATCCTGATATTTCTAGCTATTCTTATGGGGGAGCCCTTAGATGTATGTATCAGGGCAAATGCAATTGCTAGCTTTTGGCTATGACCTTTCAATCTTTCTCTCTTCTCTTCTTCATCTACATCCAGCAATACCTGTGATGTATCCGGTGAATATCCTTCAAATCTTAGCTGCCATTCCATCTGGTGAATCATCTCGTAAACACCTTCACAATGAGGATTCGACATGTCCTGTGAAACAAAACTGTACATGCGTCTTCCCACCTCAACCAAGCTACAACCCGGCATCTGGTACAAACCCTTTCTGGCCATCTCCGTCCTAATTTTAGCTGCCTCCTCCCATCTCTGAGCCTCTGCATGCATATTTGACAACACCAGATAATCACCAGGATTCTGTGAGTTAAGTTGGAATAGATGCTTGGCTGCAATCTCTCCTATTTCCATGTTAGAATGAAGCCTACAAGCATTAAGAAGGCTTCGCCAGATGACATCACTGGGCCTTAACGGCATGCTCTTGATGAACTCAAGAGCTTCGTTGAGCATCCCAGCTCTTCCCATCAGGTCTACCATGCAACCACAATGCTGAACTGTTGGTTCTATCCCATGTTCTGCTTTCATTCTGTGAAACAATCGGAACCCCTCATCAGTAAGACCAGCATGACTACAAGCACTCAACAAACCTACATATATAACATCATCTGGTTCCAGACCTTCTTCAAGCATCTCAGAGAAAATCCTTAGAGCTTCTTCATCTTGTCCATGCAAGGCAAGCCCTGAGATCATCACACTATAAGACAGTCTATTTTTCTTAGCCATTTTTTGAAAGATATATGATCCTTTCTCTAAACACCCACATTTAACATACATGTCTATCAATGAAGTTTGCACTACAACATTTAGTTCATTGATGTTCCTCAGCAAAAACCCATGTGAGCACTTTCCCAAAGCCAAAGCACCCAGATGAGTACAAGCAGAGAGCACACTGACCATTATACTCTCTTCAGGCCTCAAACATCCTTTACTACTCATCTCCCCAAATAGCATCAAACACTCATAAAACATTCGTAAGCTAGCATGAGCAGAAATAATTGCACTCCAAGAAGCAACACTCTTCACCTCCATTTGCTCAAAAACAGCACAAGCCAACTCTATCTCCCCACGCTTACCATACATATTGATCAAGCTGTTTTGCACAAACAGATCACTTTCAAATCCAAGCTTGAGTAAATGCCCATGAATTTGCATTCCCTCATGTAGTCCACGTAACAGAGCACATGCCTTCAGAAGAGAAGGATAAGTGAAATTATCAGGCTCAACTCCTCTCTCAAGCATTTCATCGAAAAGAAGTACAGCTTCCTCAAAGTTCACATGATTGACTTGTCCTCTAATCATAGTATTGAAAACAAAAGTACCCGGTTCGTCAATTTGTCGAAAAATCGAGCAGGCATAGTCCATGCTGCCCCAGTTTGAGAGAGCACAAGTGGCCAAAAGATTGCTTGCACAAAAGGAGTTCCAAAATAAACCCCACTTGAGGACCTGGGCATGAACTTGCTTGAATTCTTCCATGTTCCTGCACCTCCTCAAACAAGATAAGCACTCTTGTTCCTTCATCCTCAGATTCAATTCCAGGATCTGTGGTGGTTCATCTGGTGGAGACAGGTACTGGGTTTGGTGTAGTACTGGTGTCCCAATCATCCTATCCCCTCATCTAGAACATGATGTACAGTCTAAATGTCCACACTTAGCAGACCCACGTTTTGTTTTCAAAAACCATCACCGTTTCACACAAATTTGCAACAAAAGATGGTTAGGGAAACATGATTCATGATCTACGTTGAATGAATAGAAATGGGTGATGACAGAATTTGAGGTTATGAAAAGTGCTGATCTTTGGGCAACCCAGATTGGAATAAAAGGAAAATGTGCTGAATTGCAGCTGCGCATGTTGTCTGAGGAGATCCTGTTGAAGAAATATGAATGTCATCCATGAGATTGAGGAGGAGAATTCCAGCCAGAAAAGGTGGGTCAGATTATGGGACAACCAGATTCTGGATAGATCATAGGATAATGTGTGGGTACTGTATTTTATTTTATTAAAAAATTATTTAGGGACAAAATTTTTTTATTTTTTTATATAATTTTATATATTATTTAAATAATTAATTTTTTTTATTAATTGAAACTCATAAATAAATTTATTCATTGGATAATATATAAAAATTCTGTTAAAAAATATATAAAAAATCATCTCTATATAATTGTTTATTTTATTATTATTTAAATAAATAAATAAATAAATAAATAAATAAAAGACTATTGAGTTCTGGGACCTCTCATGTCCTGCCATGTAAGTTGCCTTTCGCTCCCAACATAAAATATAAAAATAAAAATTAAGTATTGGGCTCCAACTGTTTGGGCTAGGATATCTATAGTCCAGGCTATATTAATTGCTTAAAGGCCATGACCATTGGGCTTGGATGCATGGCAGCCCAATAGGGTTCGTGGAAGCAACACAGACACGTGTTTTCCTTATTCACGTGGCCCGGCCCACGCCCACGCCCACGCCCAACTTGATGTTTTTCGTTTGGTGAAACACCCAACTTAGTGCCATGGCCCTCCCACCATTCCAAAAAGAAAAACAAAATCTTTGGCATCTTTGACCAGGTCCTCACCAAACTAAAATATCCAACTCAAAAAATAATAATAATAACAATAATAATAATTCAACCCAATAAAAACCTAAAACCTCAAAAACCAATAAAAATTTAGTATTGTTACTTATTAATTTAGAGTCAAGATTAAGATTTTAACTTTTGTACTATCAAATAGTTTAATTGAAATGGTTAAAGTTACATACTCACAAAAGAAAAAAAAAATTTTAATTTAATTTATTGTGAAAATATAATTAAAATATACGTTTAAATTAACTATTTAAATATAATTAATAATTATTATTTATAATTAAAAACATCTAATTTATTTAATTAAAACCAACAAAGATAACAAAATTCCCAGGCAGGCAGGCAAACAGTCCCAGATGCAATTGAATAGCAGCTGCAGGATGGAACAAAAAACTGCAGGAAGCCAGCATCGCTTGGTTAACTGTGTTTGTCTTTGGGAGTGTCTTGGATCCAATTCCAAACCACCTCGCGATACCTTTTCCGTGGGTCCTTGTTACTTTGCAATTGCATTCATTTCTGTCTTCTCCATGTCCTTCCTCTGCATTCATTGTCCTTAATTTATGGGATTAAAAAAACACAGACTATTTAATTAAAAAGAATCAAGCAACAGACGTAAAGAAAGATATCATGTTCATGTTTCATGTGTTACGATGACTTTGCAACATGTTGCATGCACCTTTCTTCTTCTTTTTCTTTCCTTTTTTTTTTTTAAAGGTCAACTCAACAAAATGTTTTCTCGTGCTATAAAAAAAAGGGGATGGGGGGGTTTCCCCTTGGGTTCCACATAATTCCTGTATTTTTAATATATTACTATGAAATGGAATCTTCATGCACCTATGTAGGATGCAAAAACCAAACATATTTATTTATTTATTATGAATAATTAAAATTTATTATAGTTTTTTAAGTATATATATTAAAAAATATAAAATAAATAAATCTCAATTATTTACAATGAAAATATGAATTATTATGATTTTGAGTAAACTTTATGTAACTCGATTCATTTAACGTTCATCATTAACTCATAAATTTGATCTATAAACCACAAATCTAACTATATATCAACAATATGAAATGTAATAACTTGTATTATATATTGATTAGAAGAACAATGAAATCAACAGTAATAATAGTAAAATAATTTTTTGTATAATACTTTTGAAGGAGTGAATATTTATCAATATTTATCAATTATAAATATCAAGTTATAGTTTATAGATTGAAATATAAAAAATTAGATCATTTTAGTTATTAAAATATTAAAAATGACAATGAATAAAATTAAATAATTTTAACAAATTATTATGTAAAAAAATATTTAAATAATTTTACAAATATAATTTAGGACGTCTTGAATTTTTTTATACAATTATTGTAAAGAAAATTACATGTCTATTATTTTCGTGACAAGAAAACACTTTCTTTTCCCAAATCATTAGCATTAATTATTAGTGTTTAATCAAGATTCCCAAATTTGCAATGCCGTCTAATCTAACATTTTGATTTTTTCTTTTTTAGTGATGACTATTTTTGCGGTATGTATCCTCTGAATTGTTAGTTGGTAAAGAAATAAGCATCAAACTTATAGTTTTTTTACCATATATTTTAAGGATACATATATAAAATATAAT